AACATTAGCAACCATTATATGAATGACACGATAATTAATATTTAATTATATTTAGATTAAATTAGACTTTTAATTCTCATTTTCACCCAATTTTTTTTATCTCATTTTATCACTTTTATGTGATAAAAATGAGAACTAAAAGTAAAATTTAGTTTGATTATTATTAAATACTAATTGTTGTGTCATCTATTTAATTTTGGATATCGTCTAACGTTACAATTTAAATGATCAACGAATAAACATTTAATGGATAGAGTAACATTGTAGATTTTATAAAATCAATGGACCAAAATTACGAATTTAAAAATTAGGGGACTAGAATTAAGAATTTGATATTATAGAAAGGCCAAAAGTATAATTTAGTCTTACTTAAATAATAATAAATATATAATAAATAAATATGATTATGTTTTTTCTCATGTAAAAGGATTCACTCTTTATAACTTTACTAAATAAAACTTTTATAAAAGAAATATAAGCTTTGAAAAAAAGGTATCACTTTAAGCAATAAACAATCTTTACAATGTAAACCAACATAAAATCAGTGATCAAAATTGTTTACGAGAAAACTCAACGTAAATAAAAACTCAACCTTGATGTCACAACCTATCAAAGCAAACCCACAAAAGAAACTTTGAAGTTTATGCTTCATCACCTGCATGCTCTTCCTACTCAACAAAGTCGTGCTCATGCGTATGGTATAGTAAACCCAAACAACAATAGAAAGTAAAACAAGAAAAGAGGATTTAAAATACATCTCACACATGTTAAGACACATATAAGAACACTAGGTAGTACAAGACGTCACAAGTCACATGTCAAACACCAACACACACACCGCTCAAGAAACTTGGCTCATAGACTCTTATGTTTTTATCTCTATATGCATGGTACTATTTCTTTCACATAAAGCTCTCGCAATATGAGGTAGCTTAGAAGCACATGGATTGGATCACCAAATACTAAATGACCCTCTCAATTCAAACTCAACTAAGAAGATCTATCAAGAGCTAGTCAAGGTATCATAGTTATGGATGGTCACCTCCCATTCAACGTTAAAGGTTCCCCACCATAACACCCCAAGGCCAAGGTGGAAGACCATAAAGACCCTCTTACAAAGATTCACAACCATGGCCAAACAAACTATGCATGAATGCATGGACTCAATCACATCATGACAACATATAAATGCACATCACACTGTTAGACCTCTATCTAGGCTTAACCCTTCTAGACCTCGGTCTAGACTTTCACACTATTAGACCTCTATTTAGACTTCTCAAATGACCAAGTATAACTTGGATTTCACATTGGTAAGTCATTACTTAGTACTTAACCCACATCATGCACGTTGATTACAAGCACAAATATAACTTACAACATAAGTTGTAACTATCCGATAAGTCATTATACTTACTACAGCAAACACAACAACTAACCAATGAAAAAACAAACATTTTTTATCCTAGAATTAATTCTCACGCAAACAGTACCTGGTTATTGATGTAATAATACAAGTATAAGAGTACAAAGCATAAATATTTCTTACTCATAAAAATATAAAGTCCCTCATTAGGATCGATTACATCAAAATATTGTGCATATATATACAAATTCTAGCACTAAAAAGTATAATAAACCCTAAATTGTCAATCAAGCATCTAACTAGTTGTATCAAAACAACCTTCACTAAAAAAAACACCATCTCATACATGGCCCAGCATCATGCTAACCCTCTAGCCTAATACTAACTTGCTCTCATACCAAGTATGATCATCACAATGCAACACATAGAAAAGTAAGGGTTAGTTTGTGTAAAAAGAATCAACATATAATATAGAAGCAATAATCTAACTATATAAACAACTTTAACATTAACTACTCATCAACAACAATTGTATACTCAACTCAAACAACACAATCAACACATCAAATTAACTTCATAGCATTTATAAAATTCAATCACTGTACAACTCAGCAAGTAACAACCCAACAACTTAACATCATCGCAAATTTACAACACAACATCTTTATAACACATCTCTACAACACAACGTCTTTATGTGTTATCACGCATTTCAACTAAGAAATCTTTTATAACACAGGTAGACAATTTAAGTAACTTAACTTAATGAACCAACAACATAGAAAGATCTATAATATTTAGGTCGTACAACACAATTTGGGATATCAATCCAATATCAACGTAGAAATGGTTACTAGAATACTGTCACTTAAACTAAGAAAGTTTAGTACCACTATCTGGTATAGTATAACTTGGGTATTGTTCCACCATGACATTGGCATGCATTCACCATGTCACATGTGGAAGTGGCTCGCTAACTATCATCTTGGTACCATGTACCCTTCTAGTAATCAATGAAGAATTCTACCTCCCAATTTCATACCTTACTTAAATGGGTCACTTCAACTAAAATATGGATCAACAAAACCTCCATACTGTTTCAACTAAGGACTATAGGACACACAACACTCCACTTCAAGAGACAACTTACTAAAGAAAGGTTTTCAACTTTGGACTCTTAGAACATCATAACTCATATCTACACTATGAGAAATTCTAACTTTTTAAAACAACACAATCTTGTCTATTCTTAAGTTCAATTACACAGCTCAACAACATGCATCATGCATCTTCTCAACACAATTCAACTCAACATAATCATCTATGTACTCATCGAACATACAACACATAACTCTTGAAATATTATCCAACTCAACTCAATATACTTCATTTCAACATTTTACTACATGATTCATAAATAGATGTTTGACTGGCGCTTAAGATTTATGTTTTCAATATTGATATCATGCTTATATATGTATATGTATAGGGGTTACTATAACCCTTTAAAGGGTGTTCACGTTTTTAGTCAACTTGGTAGGAATTGTTTTTATGTCTTATGTACCATATACAACATATTCATGTTGCATGAATGTTCATATATTACTTGCATGATAATTCAATGTTAGATGATATTTATGTTTTTCACTTCATTATAACTGAGTTGTATCAAGTGTAGTGACATTGGATTATTACACAATTACATTACTCATCTTAGCAATTTAGGTTTTCCATAAATATGTAATGTGAAAATGTAATCGATTATCATACATTATAATCGATTACAAGAGAAGGTTTTCACTTATGACTTTAACTCTTACACTAATGTAATTGATTACATTTCTTATGTTAATTGTTACATTGTTCAACATGGTTTTGGGATAAAATCTTAATCAATTGAAAGCCAAGTAAGCAAATACTTTTAAATAGATATTTTGTGTAGAAACAAATTTTCTCTAATGTAATTGATTACTCATGATGTAATTGATTACAACAATGAATATTTTCTTTCTTGTTGCTCTCAAAATCAAGATGTACTCGATTAAATTTCATTTAATTGGTTACAATAGAATGTTTTGTTCTTTCTCGGCAATACTAACACAATGTAATAGATTGATTTCAATTTGATCGATTACAACAAAAGAGTTTTTCCTTCTCATGAAAACTCTATAAGCGTTTTTTATTCTTTATTCTTTCTTTTACAGCTTAATTTTTTTTTACTTATGAAAACTCAATATTCTTTTTTTAGTTATTTTATTTTAGTTGCTTGTTTAAAAACCATTTAGATCTTTTTGGACTTGCTTCACATGACTCTATAGACTCATCAAAGCATAACATCCTAAATTGGTATATTGTTTGACTTAATGTTTAGTATTGATTGCAAAAAGGCAAAACACTTATTCTTTTAGCTTCTTCAAACACTTGTAGTCATCTTCTTTTAAATGCAACAAATGGGAGAAAAAGGATATTTTCATGATATATGAAATTGAATATAATTCTATAGAGCATCCATTTCTTTCTTGTTTGATGGTGGCACAAAATTTCAAAAATATAATAGATTGATCAAGAATCGATACGAGTTATACAACCTTATTCTCAACATATCTCTTTTTATATATTGTTATAAAGACTGATTTTATTAAACAAAACAATTATGATAACTAGTTTGATTAAAAATTGCCTTTAAGATTTACAATCACACTAGACAATATGTTGGCGATATTTTGAGGATTTCGTATTACACATATAGCAGGAA